GGAGCTGAGTGCCACAAAAGAGGGAGATTGACACACTTCAAGGAATACTGCAAAAACGTAACACTGTCATCGCCACAAAATTAAGAAGTCCTACAGAGGGAAAGTTTCCTGACAAAGGAAAATTGTGTATATGGAAAAGAAAAATTCCAGGAAATAAAGGATGAAGAACAGTTTGCACGTTCTCCCCCATGTCTGCTTGGGTTTCCGTTGGCTGCTCCGGTTTCCTGCCACAGTCCAAAAATACGCAGGTTAGGTGGATTGGCCATACTAAATTGCCCCATAGTGTCTAGGGATGTGTAAGCTAGGTGGATTAGCAAAGGTAAATGCAGGGTTATAGGGTTAGGATGGGAGGCTGGGTCTGGGTGGGATGCTTTCTGAGGCTCGGTGCAAACTCAATGGGCCAAACAGCCTCTTACTGCACTGTGGGGATTCTATGATTTTATGTACACAAATGTAAGCCCACATCTTGTAAGGTGAGGTCAAAGAGAGCCAACAGAGATTCTAGACCATCAGTTTAAAGGTACAAGGGTACAAGGTATAAGAATTTAAATTTAACACAGGAGCACTATTTAAATACTGGCTGACAACTTGTCATGGTTGAAGTCTGTGAATGTTCAACAATGTAAAACTGCAAGGTCTGGTGGCACAGAACTTCAGGTACCTGGCCAATTCATCCCAAACTTTAGTCATAAAGTTCAATGGGCAGGAAACAGCGAGTGGGAGTAAGGGTTTCTTTTTCAGGTTGACAACCTGTGTCCACTGGGGCTCCCCAGAGATCAGAGCTGGGACCACAACTGTTTACCAAACATATTAAAGGCTTGGATGGGGGAAGTGAGTATACTGTAGCCAAATCTGCAGATGACATAAAAATAGGTGGAAAGTCAAATTGTGAGAGGGGCACAAAACGTTTACAGACAGAGATTGATAGGTCACATAAATGGACACAAAGTTGGCACTTGGAGTATAATGTGGGAAAATGTGATGTTGTTTAGTTTGGAAGGGAGAACAAAAGAACAGTGTCACTCAGCTGGAAAAAATGCAGAAAGCTGTCATACAAAGGGACTTGACAGTACTTGTGCGTGAAACACAGAAAGCTAGTACACTGGTGCAGCAGGTAATCAGGAAAGCAAATGGAATTTTCCTCCTTATTTCGAGGGGGTTGGAGAATAAGAGTAGAGAAGTCTTACTGCAACTGTATAAGGTGCAGCAACTGTATAAGGTGAGCAGTTTTGGTCCCCTTTCTTTTTAAAGAAAGACGTAATTACATTTGAGGCAGTTCAGAGAAGGTTCACTAGGATGGAGGGATTGTCATATGAGCAAAGGTTGAACAGGTTGGGATTCTATTCATTGGAATATTGCTATGTTGAAACATATAGCATTCTTAAGTGTTCTGGTGAAGAGGTACTGGACTTGAAATGTTAACTCTGCTTTCTCCCCACAGATGCTGCCAGACTGCTGAGTTTTGCCAGCAATTTCTATTTTTCCTTCAGCATTCGTAAGAGACTTGATAGGGTAAATGCTAAGATGATATTTCCTCTCATGGGAAAATTTAGGACCACTTGGCTTCATCTCAGGATACAGGGGTGCAAGGTTAAGACTGAGATGAGAAAGAATTTCTTCTCTCAGAGGGTTGTGAATCTTTGGAAATCCTTGCCACAGAGAGTTGTGGGGTCAAGAGTCATTGTGTATGTTTTAGGCTGTGATAGATTCTTGATCAGTAGGGAATCAAGGGTTATGGGGAAAAGGTAGGAAAGTGGATGTGAGTAATGCTGGACAAGCCATGATCCCATTGAATTAGGGAACAGGCTTGAGGGTCCGAATAGCCTGCTCCTGTTCCTACTACCTATGGTCTTATGGACAAGAGATGAGTGAGATATTCTGAAAAATCATAACACTTCAAAACTGAACATAAATGCATGTCTTGCTGTCTTTGAGAGAATGGATATGGTGCTTCAAATGGAGGAGAATTTCAACAAGAATTTTCTAAGGTATTCAGAGCCTTCACCAAATTAAAACAGGAATACCACATTATTCTGCAACATTACTAGTGCTTTCCTGAACCCTCGCTATGTTGTACAGCTATTTAAATGCTCTCATAGTTCCCTCAGCCTCAACTACAAAGAACCTATGGAGATCAAATGCTTTCAGCAGCCTAGCTAACAGCTGCCTTGGCTGACATGGAGTCTGTTTCTCTCTCACATACATAGATTCACCCACACATATACAAACACACACAACCTACATGTGCATGGTCTTCGTGTCTCACTGCCTGTCATCACCTCTAAGAACTCATCTCCGATGACCTCCAAATTGTCTTGAGTGACCTATTGAAACCCTTTTAACAGGTCCCATCCCTATTTCTGGCCAGAATTGAACGTAACTAATGTTTTGGAACAGTCAAATGCAGCACCCTTGAAACTATCTGTACCCCTGAATGTTGCAATGTTCATCAGGTGCTGGCTCCTGCAGCACAAATTGATACAACAAAATGGAATTCAGGCAACAAAAAGGTTGTAAACCCATCTGCCTGTACACTTCAAGGAAATTTCCCCATCCTCTAATGGAAAAGGTGAAATCACAGTTAGACAACTTTAAAAAAGTAGGGTCATAGCTCCAGTGACTGACTGACACATTGGTGCTCTGGTTACAATTCCAAACCCAGGGAGAACTAAGATTATGTGTGGATCTCACTCAGTTAAACAAAGGAGTTCAAAGAGAAATCCATCTGATTTTGTCAGCTGACAACAGTTTGACCAAATCAGCAAGAAGCAAGTTCTTACCAAATTAGAAGCAAACAGTGAATTGTAGCAAATATCTCTCGGCTCAAAGTCAAGACTGTTGACTGCATTCATCGCACCATTCAGACAATATTGTTTTATTCATTTATCATTCGGAATTTTGTCTACACAAGAGATTCTTCAGAGAGAATGTCAGGGATTCTAGTATGTAAATAAGGCGCTGTTTGTTACATGGACAATATCCTACTACATGGTAAGACAAAAAAGGAACATGACCATTGAATCATGGAAGTGTTAAGAACATTACAGAATGCAAGCCTTACACTCATTAAGAAAGAGTCTTCCCTTCAGTTCACCAGCTCCTCCCCAACTTTTTCTACAATATAGAACAAAGAACAAAGAAAATTACAGTACAGGAACAGGCCCTTGGGCCCTCCAAGCCTGCAATGACATGCTGCCCGTCACAACTAAAACCCCCTACCCTTCCGGGGACCGTATCCCTCTATTCCCATCCTATTCATATATTTGTCTAGACGCCCTTTAAAAGTCACAGTAGTATCTGCTTCCACTACCTACCCCGGCAGCGAGTTCCAGGCACCCACCATCCTCTGTGTAAAAAACTTGCCTTGTACATCACCTTTAAACCTTGCCCCTCGCACCTTAAACCTATGTCCCCTGGTAACTGACTCTTCCACCTTGGAAAAAAGCTTCTGACTGTCCTGTCTGTCCATGCCCTTCATAATCTTGTAGACCTCTATCAGGTCTCCCCTCAACCTCCGTTGTTCTAGTGAGAACAACGCAAGTTTCTCCAAACTCTCCTCATAGCTAATGCCCTCCATACCAGACAACATCCTGGTAAATCTTTTCTGTACCCTTTCCAAAGCCACCACATCCTTCTGGTAGTGCGGCAACCAGAATTGAACATAATATTCCAAATGCGGCCTAACTAAGGTTCTATAAAGCTGCAACATTACCTGCCAATTTTTTAAACTCAGTGCCCCGGCCGATGAAGGTAAGCATGCCATATGCCTTGTTGACTGCCTTTTCCGCCTGTGTTGCCTCCATTTTAGTGTATCTGTACACCCAGATCCCTCTGCCTATCAGTACTCTTAAGTGCTCTGCCATTTACTGTATAAAACCTATTACTTCACCACCTCTCTCTTCAGTTCTGAGTAAGTCATATGAGACTTTAAACATGGGAGGCAATCTCAACGAGACATTCAAGATTTTGTAGGAGTTTGATTGGGTAACCACTAAAAGATTGTTCCCACTGGTTAGGGAATCTAAAACATGGGCCACCGTCTCAGGAAAAGGAGGAAATCACTTAGGGCAGAGATGAGGAGAAATTACTCAATTCTTACCTGAGAGGTGGTTGTTCATTGTTGAATACATTTAAGGCTGGGATACTCAGATTTTTGGTCACTTAGGGAATGCAGAGACATAAAGATTGGGCAGGCAAGTACATATAAAGTCCAAGTTCAGCACCGAACTTAATGAGCATTGATAAGCCAAATGGTTTACTCCTGATCCTATTTCCTGTGTTCTTATGAGTTTCAAGTGAAGGATTCAAATGGTAAGTAAGTGCAACATTCGCCTTGCAAAGGCCAATACATTGAGATTCAGTTTTAGATAGAGTCATATTGGATTGGACAATAATACAGAGGATTTAAACAGAGGATATTCAGTGTTGTCATAACTGTCTGTTATAGTATTAGAAAGAAAGCCAGTTTTGCTTCAATTGGACACGAGAAGGAACATGACTGCCCATTGTTGATTCACTTCAGCCAGAAAGGGACACAAGCTGATGTATTACCTCAGCATCAATGTCAAATGGAGGCATGTTTAGAATTCGAGTAGCCTGTGGACAACACGATGGGTCCTTTCCAAAGTATGAGAATTTAACGCTTGTGAGGGAATTCCAACACAGAATGGCACCAAGTGAGATGTTCATTCGGGGAGTCGGCACTGACACGATGGACCAAATGGCCTCGCTAGATTTTGATTACCTGCCCGTCGACATTTTTTTTTAGCTTGTGTGCACTGAACAAAGCGCCTTGGGGGCAAGGATACGGCCGGGCCGACGACGCTACACGAATGCAGGTAGTTGCTGCCCGGGAAAAACCCTGCTCCCAAACCCTCGGCTGCGTCACCGACAGCTCGGAGAAAGGTCCAGCTCCTTATTAGGAATGAGAGTGAATCACGTGGAGGCGATACAGGCAAAACAAAAACAGCCCTCCTCTCCGTCTCAGCCTGCTTCAGCGGAGGGGGAGAGGGAGGAGATAGGAGCTAGTTGGTGGGTGAGCTGGTGGGAGATCTGGATGAACAAGGCATTGCTGCAGAGGAGCCCCGGCAGGCACGGCTGCTGAGCTCAGTATGGAGGATCTGTATCACTCTTACAGCCGGAGTCCCGTCTGGGAAGAACTGGTGGGTAAACTCACTGTCTTCACTTCTCCGAAACGCTTTTTGACCCTGGTGGCCGGGGACATCATTTTTGGTTTGCAAGTTTTAAAATCAAGACGAGGGGATGGTTCGCATTGCATGGCTGGAGGGGCAGAGACAAGCTGTTTTCTTTCGTGCCTGATCTTTGGTTAGTGAGTCGTGGGTTGTCAGTGCTGCAAATTTGGGGAGTCGAACCTGACTTGTAACAGCCGCGGGGGCAGCGCAACTCACCAGAAGATACAAGGTTTTCTGGATGGGACTGAGGTGGGGGGGGCGGAGGTGGTGGTGTGTGGGGGTGGTGGTTGTTCGGGCTAGGGTAAAAAAATAACAGGGAGGCTGCAAAGTTCAAACAGGCTGAAGCCAGCAAGGGGAGATGATAGCGTTGAGATTTGAGTCTGTTTGGGTGCACCGTGACTGATCCAACTCCAGGAGTCGAACAGCCGCGTTTTAATTTATCAATGTCCGACAGAGGGGGAAATCGTTTCGAAATTGTTTGACCTCACGATTACCTCACCCATCCTTTATTTAAATAAAACAGAAGGACTGGGAAGCCTTCACTCCACCCCCCCCCCCTTCGCAGTCCTTCCAATAAATTAGCATCCGTTAAAAATCTGCATGGGGTCTGCAGGATCGAAAAGATTCTCGCTGTATTTTTTTCTGCCTCTAGAGATTAAAGTTCGTTGCCCGATACATCAAACTGCATAGCCCAAATACTGCGCGATTCGCAGCTTTCATACCTAGCTGGGTTCGTGTACCGAAATTGGGCAATTTAATATCAAACTGACTCAGTTACAAGGCCGCTCTGTTGACTGTGTGGGAGAGAGATTGAGCGCTTGCATATCTGTCAGCGTTTGCGTGTGTGTGTGTGGTTGTCTGTATGTGTCAGTTTGTCTGATTGTGATTGTGCAATTGTGTCAGTGTATGTGATTGTCTGTTTATGTGTGTGTATGCGCCTATGATTGAACAATTGTGTCTGATTGTGCGATTGTGCATCTATGATTGTCCGTCTGTTAATGTGTGTCACTCTATGTGCATATGTGTGTGAGATTGAAGATCAATGTTGTAATCTAGTTTGTACTTTAATTTCGGAGCAATCCTGACTTTCACAATATAATCCTCTTCTCATTTCCCACAGTCTGTTTTCTTGCTGATGTAACTTTACAAGCAGTTTTAGATTCAAGTTATTTTCAAAAGTTGCAATTAAAGTAGCTCAGGACTTATTTACAGGCAGAACCCTGATGTGTTTTTGTTTGAATGGTGGATAGACCATATTTGTGTTTAAAGTAACTTGACCGGTCTGAGATCTGTCCAAACAGTCACAGACAGCTCATTGATCAACTCCAGCTCTGGTTATGTAAATACAGCTCGATATCATTTTGAGTCACAAACAGAAACAGTGCTGGAGAAACTCAGCAGGTCTGGCAGCATCTGTAGAGAGAAAAACAGAGTTAACGTTTCAAGTCCAGTGACCCTTTGTCAGAGACCTGTTTCTCCAGCATTCTCTGTTTTTGTGTCAGATTTCCTTATCTTGTTATATTGCTTCACTTTCGATTTTTGTCAAATTCGAGCTGTGTTGACTTAAGTTTAAATGCTCGAGTGAGAAACTGAGGCGAATTGCATACTAGAATACTGTCTTTGGTAGCCGCACAAGTGGAGAACTAATGCTAGCAAGTGTCTTTTTTACCCCTGAATCTTATGGTTGACTTCTCAATAATTGACTTTTCTGTGCTGCATCAAACATGTGAGTAAAGTGGGATAGGACCCATTGCCGTTCATAAATTCTACCCCACTTTGCTGGCTTCTGTTCCATTCCTGTCCCCAGAGATCTCTGGAGGAACCAGGTGGGGGATAGGCGATGATGCACTTTCCACATCCAAGTTGACATCAGTTCTACACTCCACTCACAATACGATATCTGAAACATACCGTTTCCAATCAACTTTCAGTGGACCCACGTCCCAATTCTCAGTAATCATTGCTTGCACTTGAACCAGCTTCTATAAACAAAGTGGAAATGTTCACATATTCTTCAGGTGTTTGACAGCTTCTGTCTCTGTCCAATATACTTCAGTCAGTCTTGAACTGACTCATGCATGCATTTGATTTTCCCAATGGGCAACTGTCCCGCAGCTTCCTCCAGGGTATGATAATCAAAATTAGTTTGCATCAGTATTGATCACTCCCGGAAGTGTGGCCGTCAGTGTTTTCCGTGTCCAAGATGCTCCTCTGTGAGAATCAATGATTTCTTTCTGGATGCGCATTCTGTGACTCTCCACTCTGTGACCAATGGTGCGTGTTGAAGATTGTGCCAATAATTGTACTGATTGCAATCTAGGAATGGTTTGCTTATGTCAGTCTTTATGGCCAGGAGAGATTTAGTGTTACTAATGCGTTTTATAATATCCGTGACCAAGATGTTATAATAATTGCACTGAGACAGTGTGTATTTATGTTGATTTTATACTGAGACAGTCAAACTATGTGTTTGTGTTGATTTTATACCCAGGCAGTTGGTTTGTATTTGTGGCGAATTTACACCCAGTCAGTCAGTGTGCGTTTATGGCAATTTTTACATTGAGACACTGTGAGTGCAGATGTTGGGTAAGAAATGCTAATTTTTAAAATTTGTACGAAGTTAACTTACTTTGTAGATAGCATTAAACTTAAATCTAAAATTTAAATTATTGACTTATAGCCATAAGCAGGTTTCTTCAAGAGTTCCAGTGAAAGAACAACTTAATTAAACAGTTGAAACTGGATCCTTATTAAGAGATATTTTATGTTACGAGCATATAAAACTAGCTACTTAGTGCAATCTAGCACTTGAGTGTGACTTTCAACAGTGTCAGTGTTAATTAATAGTCAAAGAGTTATAGAGTCTTTGGAAACAGTGGAAACAGACCCTTCGGTCCAACTAGTCCATGCCAATTATGTTCCCAAACTAAACTAGTCCTATCTGCCTGTGTTTCGCTCATATCCTTCCAAACCTTTCCTATTCCTGCACTATTCCAAATATTTTTTAAATGTTCTAACTGTATCTGCATCCACCCCTTCCTCTGGCAAAGTGTTCAAGGAGTTAAGTGGAGGGAGAGAAAGTGGAGTTCTATTGCTTTTGGTTTTGCCTAAAGAGTTTCACTTTGAGAAATTGATTCTCACTCTGTCACAGGAGAAGCAGCTGGTTAATTATTTGACAAGTGTTTAAAATTTACTCTATGCCAGAGATTCAAAATAATATAGCTGCTGGTGGTAAGGTTTATTAAAATATATTTTAAAAACTAAATATAAAGATGAATATAATAACTGAGTACCCTTTAAAAGCATTAAGGAGTGCAGGACGAGTGATCTGTCATATTTACAGCATGTGGAAGTTCCTAGATAGTTTGGTCCAGAGCAAACATGTCTGCAGAAAGTGTTTTAAGTTCAAGAAGCTTCAGCTCACACTTTATAAGCTTGAGTTTGAATTACAGACACTGCAGCATGTGAGGAGAGGAGGAAAATTACCTGGATCTTTTGTACCAGAAAGCAATCATACTTCTTAGGGTTGGATCAGGGACAGGAGAGTTTGAATGAGTGAGGTAGGTAAGATGACCTAGAGGGCAGAGGTAACAAGGTGTAGAGTTGGAGGAACAGAGCAGGCCAAGCAGCATCAGAGGAGCAGGAAAGCTGACGTTTCGGGTCTGGACCCTTCTTCAGAAATGGGGGAAGGGAAGGGGATTCTGAAATAAGTAGAGAGATGGGGAGGTGAATGGAAGATGGATAAAGGAGCAGATAGGTGGAGAGGAGACAGACAGGTCAAGGAGCCGGGGATGGAGCCAGTAAAGGTGAGTGTAGGTGGGGAGTTAGGGTGGGGGTTGGTCAGTCCAGGGAAGACGGACAGGTCAAGGAGGTGGGGATGAGTCTGGTAGGTAAGAGATAGGGCTGGGGATTGAGGTGGCAGGAGTGGAAAGTTGGGAGAAAGGACGGACAGGTTAGGGAGGTGGGGACGAGCTGGGCTGGTTTTGGGATGCGGTCAGGGGCGGGGAGATTTTGAGCTTGTGAAGTCCACATTGATACTATCGGGCTGCAGGGTTCCCAAGCGAAATATGAGGTGCTGTTCCTGCAACCTCCGGGTGGCATCGTTGTGGCACTGGAGGAGGCCTAGGATGGACATGTCATCCAAGGAATGGGAGGGGGAGTTGAACTGTTTCGCAATTGGGAGGTGCAGTCGTTTGTCGCGAACCGAGTGTAGGTGTTCTGCAAAGCGGTCTCCAAGCCTCCGCTGTTTGATGTGGAACGTCTTCTTGGGACCTGGGATGTGGGTGAGATGTAGGGGCGGGTGTAGCACTTCCTGCAGTTGCAGGGAAAAGTGCCGGGGGTGGTGGGGCTGGAGGGGAGTGTGGAGCGGACAAGGGAGTCACGGAGAGAGTGCCCTCCAGAAGGCAGATAAGGGTGGGGAGGGAAAAATGTCTTTGGTAGTGGAGTCGGATTGCAGATGGCGGAAATGCTGGCGGATGATGCGTTGGATCCGGAAGTTGGTGGGGTGGTACGTGAGGATGAGGGGGATTCTGTTTTGGTTGTTATTTGCGGGGAGTGGGTGTGAGGGATGAGTTGCGGGAAACGCGAGAGACACGGTCAAGGGCGTTTTCGACCACTGTGGAGGTGAAGTTGCGGTCCTTGAAAAACAAGGACATCTGGGATGTCCGGGAGTGGAATGCCTCACCTCAGGAGCAGATATGGCGGAGGCAAAGGAATTGGGAATAGAGGATGGCATTTTTGTAGGAAGGTGGGTCCAGGTTGCAGTTTTTTTGAGTTTGTCTGGATGAAAGTGTGGGCAGCAGGAGGGATGAGCTAAGTGAACATGGCATCATGGTACAGGAAGCCACTTGAGGTCATAGATTAACTAGGAATGTAGCAGTAAGAAGGGACAGTATATTTAGGAGGACTGATACTGTTCTTTGCAGCAAAGAATGTGAGTACAGATGCCTATGTTCTGAGGAAGGGTCACC